AGAGTTATGTAGAGCTAACTAGTTCCAAATCAAATGAATAATATTAGGTATAGACTTATTAGAAAATTATAAATTTTTTCAAAGGGAACTTTAAGACCGTGTGATTATATTTACCACGTTACATCAAGCCTTCTAATCACATTTGTATAACCACACTATTTATTGTTTATGGTATTAATATTTAGAGATTACTGGATCGAAATGCGTGTCCCTATCCTTTACGATAAACTAGCATGTATTCATTAACAGTATAATTCTAGGTATAATATATTTTTACTTTATTCGGCATTGGTTTTATAGTTTGCATTTTACTTCCTACATAATATCATCTTTCATGTTTAGTTATTTGGTTAAATTTATATATGGTATTTTAATTCTTATTTGTTACTGGTGTTTAAATTGTTTAAGGTTCATTTGTTTTGAAAAATCTAATGCAATGATGAAAACCGTTTGGGAAGCTATTTCTTACCATAGCAATTTATTTTTTATATTAAACACGAACGCTTGCATAAAGAAGAAATTCGGATACAATGTTTCTGCATAGAATTAAATTAAACAGAAACATTTAGAAAAAAAACTAAGCAAATCAGCAAAAATATTGGACCTCACGATGCCAGTTAAGTCTATCTACCATAGTCTACCAAATGGTTACCTTAACCAAGATGAAGTTCTGATTCGTCCTTGTTTCAGGCTCATAAGCAACATAAACCGTATTCAAAAATTGTTACTGCAGCCTTTAAAATTTCATAAATCTTTACTGCAATATATCTATTTATCCGACATTATCTGAACAAAATGGGTTTATTACTCATTACCCTATATTTTCATTAATGACTGTGAGCTCTATATTTCTCATTATTCTTAGTAATGGATTGTAGTTTGAATAAAACCTTTTGGACGTAAAAATGAATTTCTTTAGATTACTCGATTGTTTGAAGGTATAGACAAGACTTAATAGTAAAATGAACTTAGAATACGAAAACAGTAATTAAAAGCCAGACGTCAAAGATTGTAGCTTAACTATTTTACCTTCTATGACAAGTTTATTCAAATGAGCTGAGTTTTCTGTTTCTGCTCATTCATAATAAAAATGAACTCTGAGATCTGCGGTTCTGCTTACTATTTGTCGCAAATGCAAATAAAATAAATATCTTGCTCTCAACGCTTACTTATTTTCTGAACCCTATTACTAAGTCCGGCCTAAACATGCATCCGCTTAAATCATTTTTGTTCAATATTATGCCTAACGAAAGGCGATGCAGATTCTAATTAATATATTTATAGAAAGCGAGTTTATTATCTGTCAAGTACTTTTAGATAAAGTCTTTTTTATAAACTATCTTACCTTTTTTAGGTTTATCAGAAACGGGACGAGCTGAGAGGCAGAACCTTACACGGGAACATTCTAAAACATTCAGTTACTGTAGAAGCTGGGCAAAATAAATCATTATCTTTAATAGCAAATATTCATAATATATTTAGAATGTCCTCCAACATATCAAAGCTTAATAATCGCAAAAAAGAGGTCACAAAATGCTCTATATTTGGCCAGAATAGAAGTAATTATACAGCTGAACCTTCTTCAATAGGTTGTGGTCAAAATTCTAGCAGAGAATCTTACCTTATCACCAAAAAAGCAGTAGATAATTATGAAATGGAGGCTAAAACGGCTAAAGAGTCTGACAATAATCTTTCAATTGCAAAATCTATATGTCATATGCAGATTCCTGAATGTACTATGCAGAATGCTTCTAGAAATATAGACCATCTTGAAGAAACGAAAGTAAAATTTGTGAAAAACTTTTTATTGCAGGATCTATCAATTTCATTGGTTTCTCAGGAATCTCCAAAGTTTGAGTGTCAACCATTGTCTAGTGATAGGCAATTCTACAGTCAGGGCGAAGTCAAGCCTATCTCCAGTCCTGAAGTGATCGAAGTTAGGTGTAGTTCTGATGACCACGCAAGTTTGAGTCATAGTTCTCTAAATACCTGCCTTCATTTTAATACGGGAGATGTGTTTCTCAGGCGAGATGAAATAGCAAATACAATAGAAAGTGCTCCCACTAAAGAAGACTTAACAGCGGATTTAATTGATAAGTTTGAGGAGAGTAGTCAGAGTGGAGGGGGCCTTGAGCCTGAATTATGGAACTCTTTAGATGCTATTGTTGGACCTTCAAACGAAAACAAGAAAGCTTTAGTCAAACCAAATGTATCTGCAACAGTTTCTTTTGCTGAAATCGTCGATAAAACGTTGGCAATAACTTCGGAAGAACCGAACCAAGGGGAGATTCTTATTAGCGATAATTTGACATACGAACAGCGGCACTCAGGAGATAAGGAATTTTACCAATCGAATCAAGGTTTAATGCATGGAGCAATTTCGAGAGTGCCAATACAGCCGCTAATCAAGTCCGACAGAAATCAAACGAGTAAAGACTATTGTTCTGAGAAGTTAAACTGTAAAGCTTCTGATAATAATGCGATCCAAGCTTCTGTAGAACCATATGAGACCGGCCAAGCCTCAAGTTCATGGTCACATCGGCGCTCAATTAAGTCTTTCAAAGAAACTCCAGATTTTCATAATATGAAAACAGCCGCTATGCTTTTTGCTGTAACTGTTGTCTATATTCTCACACTACTACCTGCCATTACAATGGCATTAGGCCTAGTGAGAGTTCACTTGGTCATTTTCTACATGTACTACCTGAATAATGTTGTAAACCCGATTATTTATGGCTTCATGAATCCTCGGTTTAGGGCAGATGTTAAACAGCAAGTGATGTGCAGACGACCTCCAAGTTAACTCCAAGTAAAGTAATTTTGCAAAAATTCTGTAAAGCCCAAAATCATAAGAATGAATAATCATAGGCCAAAACACGATAACAGGTACCCACTTTTTAGCTCTAAATCCCTTGGTGCCAGACAAGATGATGTATAATCAACTTCAATATAACATGAATCAAAAAATGAAATGTTTTGATAGAATTCTTAATATAAATGAATTTTTGATTTATTCTTTTTATTTAAGTCTCGTCAGTTAATTTGTGAATATTAAATATACAAGATCAAGCTCAATGTCTAAAAAGTATTTCACACTCTCACAAGTAGAAGTAATATTATTATATTGTCACTGTTTTTAATAAGGCAGCTTTCGCTTTTAAAGAGTATGATATAGTAAAATGGTATACTGCCTTATCGAGGCAAAATGGTGGGTAAAAGTATATTTGCATGAATTCTTGCATTAATTATTTGGGATTTATAACTATATTGTGCAGGTGAGTAAGCAAAAGATAGTCATAACAAATTACTCGTCACGTATATTATTCCTTAATATATCATAATTTACCTACATACCAGCAATCAGTATTCTTGAATTAAATCATCCTACCATGGTCTAACCATAGTTTTCATGTATTTGGACCTTAAAAAGCTAGGTCTACTTTATACCAGCAATAAAAAAAGTTATACAGTTTGATTTCACTTAATGTTAAATCTGGACTTTGTTTATTGCCTTGTAAATCGCGATTGACTTAAATCTTTTGTAAAATAAATACATAAATCAAAGAATTGTGGTCATAATCCCTTAGTTAAAAATAATTAGAAGAGGAATAATTTATATTCATAATTATTAGGTACTGAAACTTGCCTTAAAATGGGTTGAATAAATATATATTTATCAAATCTCATATTTTGTATACAACTTTTAATAGGTCAAGATTTGTATAATTGCTACTTTAAGCTTATAGGAAATTATTATGCCGATCTAACACTTAGGTAACTAATAAGTCCTAAGGTCAGAGGTAAAAAGCAAATTAATATTAGGATCTTTATAGCATTCTATAGATACATTTATTTTTAAATACTTTATTTAGAAGTAAAAATTCTGGATGATAATAACTGTTAAAACCTATGGATTTATTGTAAGCCATTTTAATGATATAGTTTCAAAAGTTATTTTAATATTAAAATGCTTAAATCTTTATTGAAAATAAAGATAAAAAATACGATTCAAATAGCTGCAACGATTTTGAGTCCAAAATATTCCTAATTCATTTTCATAACTGTGGAAAACTGTGGCAACCGGTGTGTTAAGATATTTAGTACACAAAAGATTCAAGTTAATATAGATATTTTATTCTAAATTTTCAGGCCTTGCTTAGGGCTTAATGAGAAAATTAATGATAAAAATTAAAGACACGCTGAAAATTTTTAGTAGTGAAAATCGACACAGGTACATAATGATAGGTAATATTATTAAGTTTAATAGCTGACCTTATTAAACTTAGCAAATATTAACTTATGTATAATAAAAAATGTTAGTAGGAAAAAGTGGCAATGTAGAAGAATTTTTCGGTCAATATTTGTACGCATTAATTTAGTAGTAATTAAGTAAACATAATATATAATTTACAAATTTCTGATACACGGATAAGCATTTGATCACTCTCTAGCAATTTCCCTACATTTTTGAAACGCTGTAAAATTTTATTTACAAATCAATGGATGCATGTATAATAATTTAGTCAAATCAAGATAAGCAAGATTGAAAAAAAAATTTAGAAATGGATTTCTTTTGCTTCATAACTACTTACTCCTTACTTTAGACAGACTTTAACCCATTATCTTGCTTTTTACTGTTTATAATATTCACAAACTATTTTTATATAATTATTTTGCTCAAAGAACAAATTTAGAGGCAATTGTTTTTCCTAATATATAATTTGCTATGC